TGCCGCAGAGTCAGGTCATGTGATTCAGCACCCCCCCCCGCCCCCCCTCACCTGCAGACAGACTCTGACTCTGTGTGTTTTTTTCCCAGAATTCTTCTCATCGCTGTCGCCATCCTCTCTCTGTACTCAGTTCATCTTCTTCTGGTCACGTCCAGAGAAGGAGGTCGGTCCAATCACAGAAGAGCTTTCAGTCACCTGGTTTTCTGACGCTCATGTTCTCACCTCACGTCCCCTGTGTTTGATTGACAGGATCCCTCATCTACGAGAAGCTGGGGGAGCGGGCGTTCGGCTGGCCGGGGAAGATGGCCGCCTTCGTGTCCATCACCATGCAAAACATTGGAGGTAAAAAAAATCAGAATCATTTTGAGGAAACACAGGTGAACACCATGTGACACCATGTGACACCATGTGACACCATGTGACTCATCCCCTGGTGTCCGTCCACAGCCATGTCCAGCTACCTCTTCATCGTCAAGTACGAACTGCCCGAGGTCATCAGGGCGTTCCTGGGGTTACAGGAGAACTCGGGGTAAGAGACTCTCAGACGGAGTTCAACCCTCGACCGCTCTCAGTGTCGGGGTTTAAAGATGTGGAGATGTGGAGTCTGAACTGGTCTGAACTGGTCTGAACTGGTCTGAACTGGTCTGAACTGGTCTGAACTGGTCTGAACTGGTTCTGGTCAGTGACCACAGACACGTACAGGAGGCGCCCACATCTGGGGAGGCTGGGTCCTGTCCATCCCATAATACTGTTTAACCACTGACTGTGAACACACACACACACACACACACACACACACACTGTTGAGGGAACCTGACGAGCCTGTAGCTCGTTGCTTTACGATGACATCATCACCACACCTTGATTTTTTTTTGTTTTTTGGCTCTAACCCCGTGTCGTCTCCGTCCACAGTGAGTGGTACATGAACGGAAACTACCTGGTGGTGTTCGTGTCCATCGGGCTCATCCTGCCCCTGTCTCTGCTGAAGAACCTTGGTGAGGACCCAGTCTTTTATTTTGAAAATCTCCACACACTGTTGTCACTTCCTGTCCGTTCACTTCCTGTGGCCCGAGGTCTCTCGTGTCAGCAGCTGTCTGAAATCGGTTCCAAGTGCCGGCCTTAGTCAGCATTGTCAGGAGTCACAGAACTGTAACGTGACACGGTGGCTCAGTGGGCATTCAGGTCAGCCTCGCTGCTGAACACACCGGTCACACGTGCTCCTATTGGCCCAGCTCCAGAGGCAGCGCCACCTGGTCCGCTGACCACGTCACGTCCTTCAGACACAGATCACAGGGGCGCGTTAGTCTCCCCCTGGTGGCTGAAATTTGAATTTAGTTCCGGTGGTGTGTTTGTCATGACAACCTTTCAGCCAATCACAGCTCTGCCGCCAACTGTCAACCTGATCCATGTGGTCTTGGTCTACAGGCTACCTGGGCTACACCAGTGGGTTCTCCCTCACCTGTATGGTCTTCTTCCTGGGAGTGGTGAGTTCACCAGTTTAACACTAGTTACTGACCTGACCAGGTGACCTGACCAGGTGACCTGAACAGGTGACCTGACCAGGAGAACTGACCAGGTGACCTGACTTGGTGACCTGACCAGGGGACCTGACCAGGTGACCTGAACAGGTGACCTGACCAGGTGCCCTGACCAGGTGACCTGAACAGGTGAACTGACCAGGTGACCTGAACAGGTGAACTGACCAGGTGACCTGACCTCAACCATCATCTCCGTCATGAACGTCAAAGAAAACCGTGGTCTGTTTTTTTTAGGTCATCTACAAAAAGACCCAGGTCCCGTGCCCCCTCCCCGTACTGGGCCCCCCCTCCTCCAACCTCAGCGTGAACGTGTCCGACCTGTCGGGGATGTTCTCGCTGCAGAACCAATCACAACAGATGGACTTCTCCAGAGCCGACGTCTCCCCCGCAGCGGTGGACGGACACAACGGGCCCCACTCCGCTGGGGTACATGTTGAGCCACACCCTGACGACGAGGACATGTGCAGACCCAAGTACTTTGTCTTCAACTCTCAGGTACACACAGGTCCCAGACTTCAAAGCTGGTACTGCAGTAACGTCTGCTCCGTGTACTCTCCAACTACGAACCATGTCTGATCCTGACTAAGTTGATCGCGATCAGTCGTGATCAAATTTAATCACCCGCGTCAGCGGTGTCGTAGACCAACAACCGTTTCTTTGTGTGGTTTGCGATCATTGTACGACTTACTCTGTATCTGTGTCCTGTCCTGTGTACTACTGCGTTAAACATAGACTTGTGTACTTGGGTCAAATCCAAGTACATTTGAAGTATTTGGTGAAGGTGGAGCAGTTGTTTTTCTCCACTCACTGACCCACTCACCATCATCTCAAACAAATCCCAATATATCCAGAGTGGTGGTGTGGTGGTCAGCAGGTGGCGCACCACTCTGTCCTTAGGTTTATTTTGAAGTTTCTGTGGTTAAATGTTTATTTTCTGAACAAGTTTACGTCTGTCATCAATAACTGCATAAATAACTACAGGGTTCAACTTACTGTTTACCCCATTGCGCCCTCTGCTGCCTGACTGAAGTACTGAGTTTTCTTCCTCACAGACGGCGTACACAGTTCCAATCCTGGCCTTCGCCTTTGTCTGCCATCCTGAAGTCCTGCCCATCTACAGTGAGCTGAAGGAGTGAGTGTCCACACCACACATCTGGGCCACACCACACATCTGGGCCACACCACACGTCTGGGTCACACCACACATCTGGGCCACACCACACGCCTGGGCCACACCACACATCTGGTCCACACCACACGTCTGGGCCACACCATACATCTGGGCCACACCACACGCCTGGGCCACACCACACATCTGGTCCACACCACACGTCTGGTCCACACCACACATCTGGTCCATACCACACGTCTGGTCCACACCACACGTCTGGGTCACATCACACATCTGGGCCACACCACACATCTGGTCCATACCACACGTCTGGTCCACACCACACGTCTGGTCCAGTCCATGACACACATCTGGGCCACACCACACGTCTGGGTCGCACCACACATCTGGTCCACACCACACATCTGGTCCATTGGAGTGTGAGGCAGTACTGACCGGACCGGTCTGTAGTTCTGGAGACCTTCACCTAAACATGTGTCTGTCTGTCTGTCTGTCTGTCTGTTGTCCAGCCGCAGCAGGAAGAAGATGCAGAACGTGTCCAACCTGTCCATCCTGGCCATGCTGCTCATGTACATGCTGTCGGCGCTCTTTGGTTACCTCACCTTCTACGGTAAGAACCGGCCGTCCTGACTGGACCAGACCGACACCAATCACAGCTGACCCCTCACCCCCCCCCTCCTCACTCACAGACAGTGTAGAGGCGGAGCTGCTCCACACCTTCACCAAGGTTTACAAGTTTGACACTCTGCTGCTGATGGTCCGTGTGGCTGTTCTCACCGCCGTCACCCTGACTGTACCCATCGTACTGTTTCCTGTGAGTACTACACACACACACACACACTGTTATGGTCATGTGATCACTGCCTTTGACAGACGCCAGGCAGCATCAACACAGACGGACCTTTGTGTTTTACACAGTCAGTACTTCAGTCTGTAGTACCACCTCATCTGTTTCAGTCACTTTGGTGAAGAAGTACAGACTGTTGAGTTTGGTGACATCATCTGACTCACACACACACACACACACACACACAGCGTTCTGCCAGGTGATTGGTGTAGCAGTAATGTGGGCGTGTCCTCTCTGGAGACCCCGGGCCACGGCTTGGTGTCGTCACAGCTCGTCAACTGCTCACTTCAGTTCTCTACCACTAAGTGGCAGCAGACGGTTAACAACAACTTCAACTCCTGCCACTGCATCAGTGTGGTGTTCAACTAAACAGGTCCAGGTCCAGGTCCAGGTCCTGGTCCAGGTCCAGGTCCAGGTCCAGGTCCTGGTCCAGGTCCAGGTCCAGGTCCAGGTCCAGGTCCAGGTCCAGGTCCTGGTCCTGGTCCTGGTCCAGGTCCAGGTCCAGGTCCAGGTCCTGGTCCTGGTCCTGGTCCAGGTCCAGGTCCAGGTCCAGGGCTGAGATCACACCTGGAACACACACACTCTCCGCTCCAGGCCTTTTATGGCCATGCTCTATTTTTAGATCGACTAAAACTGACACCAGGGGAGTAAAGTGACCCCCCCCCTCACCCCTCACCCCTCAGCTCTTACCCCTCTCTCCCTCTCTCTGTAGCTCGCTCTCTCTCTCTCTCCATACTTGCAGCTGTTGACTCTGAGGTTGTAGTTTCACTAGCATGCCACCAGGTGGCGGCATCTCCCTCTCTCTCCAAACTCAATGACTTGCGACACTCTCTCTCTCACCGAGGCAGGAAGGACCATTTCTGTCTCTGCCCTGACACGTGACCGCAGTGGAACTTTACCACAGACACTCTGTACCATCAGTACCAGCGTCAGGGTAAAAGGAGGACACAGAGGTATTATAGGCTGGGGGGGGGGGGGGTGGAGGGGGGCAGTTTATGGACAGAAACACAAACCTCCGTCAGGAACACAGAGTCCAGATTCAAATGACACCGACTGTTGTGGAAGTTCCTGCATGAGTTCTGGAGGATTTGTTCCTTTGTTGAAGTTTAACCAAGTCATTATTATTAGCAGTGACAGTGAGGGGTCGAGGTCAGGGGGTCGAGGTCAGGGGGTCGGGGTCAGGGGTCATGGTGCAGTTCTTCAGGTTGTTCCAACACAGAACGGTTCCACGTCTGTTCAGGAAAACCATGAAGCAGGAAGAAGAGCCTGGAACACCACCACCACCACTAACTAGTTAACCTAGTTAACGTCACCAACATTAACTGATCGTCATTTTCACAGTTGCAGCAGATAAATCCAACATCAGGCTGAGCAGGAACCTGGTGAACCAGGTGACAGCTGCTGGTCCACTGCCCTGTTGGGTTTAGAACCAGTTTGGTCGGTTGGTACCAGGTCTGACTCAGATCCTGTTTGAACCAGTCGCCGTGACGACAACGACGACGTCAACGAGTTAATGTCGAGTTAATGATGAGACCCAGGTCAGTGGAGCTGGTTGGCTGTGACGAGGGTGTGTGTGTGTGTGTGTGTGTGTGCGCCCAGTCATGTGACGCCTGGCGGCTCACACACAGATTAAGTGGGATCCAGTCCATAATGAAAGGCTGTGGTGTTTAGTCAGACGTGGCCCAGTTCTCAGGAACGGTCCTCCTGAACCAGGAACCATTTTTTACCACGGACCTGGTTCTGGTCTGTCGTCTCCTCTGCTGAGACCCAGACCAGAACCACTGAGACCCAGACCAGAACCACTGAGACCAGACCAGAACCACTGAGACCAGACCAGAACCACTGAGACCAGACCAGAACCACTACATGTTTCCCCCTCTACTCTACTCTCCTCACAGGGCAGCAGCTTCAGCATCTACTTTCACTGCCCTCCCCCCCCCCCCCCCCCCCCAGCCGCGGCCGCGGCGGGGGCGGAGGGGGGGGGGGGGGGGGGACACCTCCTACTTCCTGTGTCAGAAACACACACACACACACACAGTACCAAAACAGAAAGTACACGCTTGAGTACAACAGCGTGACTACAGGCGTCCTTGGCCTGGACGCTGTTGAAAACAAAACATTATTTCAACACTGAAAAACTTTCAAGGAAACACAGGTGCTGCTCAAGGCCTTGAGAGCAGCTCAAGGCCTTGAGAGCAGCTCAAGGTTTACCTCTCAGGTCTGGCCACCCAGATCCAACCGCCTGTAACCAGTTTATCCACATAGTGACTTTACTCATTTCAGACCCAGACCCCCCTCTACTCTACTCTCCTCACAGGGCAGCAGCTTCAGCATCTACTTTCACTGCCCTCCCCCCCCCCCCCCCCCCCCCCCCCCCCCGGGGCGGGGGG